GGAGAAAAAGAAAGGTAAAACACAACTGATAGGTGAATTATGGACTGATGAATGCCTGAACTCGTTTAAGCTCTTGAAAAAGGCTTTGACAGAGACGCCGATATTAGGATACGCGGACTTTGACAAACCATTTCGGCTAGAAATTGACGCCAGCTCTAAAGGTCTGGGAGCTGTGCTATCACAACAACAAAAGCAAGGTTTCAGGGTTATTGCGTATGCCAGTCGAGCTCTGAAGGAATCAGAGAAGAACATGACAAATTACAGCGCCATGAAACTAGAACTTTTGACATTAAAATGGGCTGTGACTGAAAAATTCAGGGACTATCTATTAGGTGCTAAATGTGTGGTATACACTGACAATAACCCCCTCAGTCACCTAAAGACAGCAAAGTTGGGATCCATCGAACAGCGATGGGCAGCAGAATTGGCACTCTTTGACCTGGAGATAAAATATCGCCCGGGGCGGTCCAATGGCAATGCGGACGCCTTATCAAGGAATCCTTACGAGAGACCGGGCGATGAGGAAGAAACGCTGACAGGAATATGTGAGGTCAGAGCGTCAACAGATATCCCTCACGGGGTGCAAGTGAGGCAGAACGGACAGACCGGGGTGGAGCACATTTCCACAGAGCCCGGACATATGGACATCGGTGATTTTAATTGCCTTAATCACAAAGAGATACGAGATGCCCAGAGAACGGATAGTGGCTTACAGCCACTGTTGAAACACGTCCAGGAACAAAAATTCCCAGGAAGAAGGGAAAGAGAACAATTTGGTCGAGAAACAAAGAAAATAGTGAGTCAGTGGGACCGTCTCAGTATAAAGGATGGTGTTCTCATGCGGAGAATTCATGACCAAATTGATGGGACAATACACCAGGTGGTGGTGCCTGGACAATTACGAGAAGAAGTGCTAAGGTTGGCACATGACAGGGCAGGACACCAGGGTCAGGACAGGACGCACAAAATATTACGACGGAGGTGTTACTGGCCCAATATGGAGATGGAGGTCAAACGCCATTGTGAGGCTTGTGTGAGGTGTCAGCATGCGAAAATGCCAGTTGTCAAAATGAGACAGCCATCAGGACACCTACTAGCGACAAAACCACTAGAGATTGTGGCTATGGACTTTACGTCGTTGGAGCAATCATCGGATGGGACGGAACATGTGTTGGTAGTGACTGATGTATTCACCAAATGGACTGTGGCGGTGCCCACACGAGATCAGACTGCCAAAACAGTGGCAAAGGTCTTAATAGAACATTGGTTCATCAAATATGGCATACCAAGACAATTACACTCTGACCAAGGAAGGGCCTTTGAGTCAGAAGTAATTAACCAACTGTGCAGCCACTACGGGATCAACAAATCTAGAACAACCACATTTAATCCGAAAGGAAACGGACAGTGCGAGCGGTTCAACCGCAGCATGCATGATTCGCTGCGTACCCTAGAACCTGAACAGAAAAAACGTTGGCCTGATTTTCTCCCAGAGTTGGTATATCTATACAACTGCACCCCCCATGCCACAACCGGCTTTTCGCCACACATGTTGCTGTTCGGACGGGAGGCTCGACTCCCTCTTGACTTGTTCCTAGAAAAAAAGGAGAGTATGACTGGCTCATACACTGCACTGGAATATGTGAATGAACATATGAGACGAATTAGAGAAATGTACAGGGTAGTACAGGAAAGACTAGAACATGAAGCACGGCGAAGGGAACCGCCGGTACAGACAAAGGACCCGCCACTCAAACTGAACGACAGGGTATTACTGCGTAGCCACCCGTTAGGCAGAAACAAAATCCACGACCTCTGGGGACAGGAGATATGGCAAGTCGTGGAGATGCCTAAAGTAGCAGGTGGCCCCTTTAAGATAAGACCCATCGATCACACCAAACCGGATCGGTGGGCGAATATTGCTCAATTAAAGAAATATTGTCATAGTCAAGAAGAGCAGTTACACACAAGGAAACCCAAGACAATTAGGGAACCGGAAACTATAACGGAAATTCACATACCCATCCCGGAACCATGTCACCATCAACAGAACAACAGCGATACACAAGTGGAGGATAACGGCAACGAAGAGGATCCCGTTCCTCCCAGAAGCAGAGAGACAGTAGACCATCAGATAAGTGGTCCGCGGAGAAGTTTGAGAAACAGAAAGAATACGAAATTTTTTGTCAGCAACCATCAATTCTTTCATGGTCGCGCTGGTATGAGAACAGACTGTTCAAAAAGTCATACAAGTGAACTGGTGAAGGCACCAAACGAAAAAAGGTGGATGTGAATTCTAGAACTGTTTTGTGTCTGAGGAAGATGATGTAGACACATTTGATATGTGAAATAGGGATAACGGTCAATCTTATACGAATGTGACGACATTGACAGTGAGTGGAACAATAAATTTTTTTTACGGTGGTGCGATTGACTTTGAAGGACTGCACCTGCCAAGCGTTGTTTGTGGTTGATAACACACAAAAAAAGGCAGGGGTGGATGTAACTAGGGGAAGTTACCAGAGACATAAGAACGCAGTACAGCGCTGTCAACTTTGACACGACTGATGCAATAACGCAGGTGTTGGCTGATAACGATCAGAAAGCCAAGGCGTAGTATCTTGGGAAGCGATACGAGAAGAACGCAATACGGTCTGTCAACTTTGATGTGACAGGATGCAGATGGCTTATTAAATCGGACTGTACGACAGAAGCGGCGTAATTAACATTCTGATGCAACGATTAGAATCGATTACGATTACGATTATGATAGAACCGAATACGATTACGAATACGAAGGGGATATATAGGAAGGCGACGGCTGAGCTCGCTGTGTCTCTCTCTCGCTCTCTCTCGATCAGTCAGTCAGTGTGGCAGTATCAAGTTGGTTATTGAACGGGTTAGCCGTATTGTGTTAAGAAGGACGATAGACATGTGCATTCAGTTATGTGAAGACTAGTGAGGACTGTTGGGGGTCAGTTGATTCAGACTATTATTGTGAAGCATTCCTTTTGATTCATTATATTATTGTGAAGCATTTCTTTGATTCATGTAATAAAAGGATCAATAGCGAACCTGCATCTTCGAGTATCTATACTGTGGTCGATGTTGTGTAGAATGAGTGGTTAGACTCGGTAACATTTGGCGTTGTCGAGCAGAACTCGTTAACATTTGGCACTACAGGCAAATAGTCTCGTTACATATATATATATATATATATATATATATATATATATATATATATATATATATATATATATATATATATATATATATATATATATATATATATATATATATATATATATATATATATATATATATATATTATATATATATATATATATATATATATATATATATATATATATATATATATATATATATATATATATATATATATATATACACTCATGTTTGTTGTTGATGAGTGGTGTTTTAAATATGTGCACGTTTTTAATCTATTAAATTAAATAAAAATAATATACTTGGGTTACATGATGTCAATTTGTTTTACAAGGACAGTTGTTGTGGAGTAGATTTATGGACCGTGATACGTCCTAATTCGTAGCAGTCACGGGCAGCGTTCATGTGAGTGCGCTCATTGGGGTGTGTGTCGGGGGAGTGTAAGTAATAGGGGTGTGTGTGGGGGGGGGGGGAGTGTACGTAAATGGGGGTGTGTGTGGGGAGTGCGCGTACGAGGGGTGTGTGTAGGAGGGTGCACGTACGAGGGTGTGTAGGGGGAGTGCACGTACGAGGGGTGTGTGTAGGGGAGTGTACGTACGAGGGGTGTGTGTGGGGGGAGTGCACGTACGAGGGGTGTGTGTAGGGGGGTTGTACGTGCGATGGGTGTGTGTAGGGGGAATGCACGTACGAGGGGTGTGTGTAGGGGGAATGCACGTACGAGGGGTGTGTGTGGGGGGAGTACACGTACGAGAGGGGTGAGTAGGGGGAGTACATGTACGAGGGGTGTGTGTAGGGGGAATGCACGTACGAGGGGTGTGTGTAGGGGGAGTGCACGTACGAGGGGGGGGGGGGTGTAGGGGGAGTGGACGTACGACTGGTGTGTAGGGGGAGTGCACGTACGAGGGGTGTGTAGGGGGAGTGCACGTAAGATGGGTGTGTAGGGGGAATGCACGTACGAGGGGTGTGTAGGGGGGAGTGAACGTACGAGGGGCGTGTAGGGGGGAGTGAACGTACGAGGGGTGTGTAGGGGGAGTGCACGTACGAGGGGTGTGTAGGGGGAGTGCACGTACGAGGGGTGTGTAGGGGGAGTGCACGTACGAGGGGTGTGTAGGGGGAGTGCACGTACGAGGGGTGTGTAGGGGAGTGCACGTACGAGGGGGTGTGTAGGGGGAGTGCACGTACGAGGAGTGTGTAGGGGGAGTGCACGTACGAGGGGTGTGTGTAGGTGGTGTGCACGTACGAGGGGTGTGTGTAGGGGGAGTGCATGTACGAGGGGGGATGTGTAGGGTGAGTGCACGTACGAGGGGTGTGTAGGGGGAGTGCACGTACGAGGGGTGTGTAGGGGGAGTGCACGTACGAGGGGGGTGTGTAGTGGAGTGCACGTACGAGGGGTGTGTGTAGGGGGAGTGCACGTACGAGGGGTGTGTGTAGGGGGAGTGCACGTACGAGGGGTGTATAGGGGTTGAACAAACAGCTCTGTTTACCTTGTCATGGGTCTCTACGCCTCTGTTCCCGTTAAAACTCTTATCAAAATCTGACTACATTTTTTTCAAGGATGTCGTGTCTTTGTTGGCGTTTTTTTTACAATATTTTTTTCCCAAAGGTGAATACAAAAGATGGTAAACACAATCAAGGTGAAATCATTAGAGACAATTAAATTTTGTTCCATTAATAAAATGTGATAGTTTATATTTTATTTTTTATATATTCGATTTAATGTATAAAAAAATAATTTTGACTCGTTTTATATAGATTTTTGTAACTCAGTTATTATTCAAGTTTGGTGAGTGGATCCGACTCTGGGTGTGGCAGAGATAAGGACAGAAGATAAACTGCAGCGTGCTGAAGACGTCCACATTTACTGTTGGTTTGCTGCGGTGCCATCTTGTCAGAAAATGTTCTCTAGAATTGTCCTACTGGTCCTACTCGGGTCGCTGTCCTCGGTCTATGGCGCTGCCAGTTTACGTGAGTAATCTCGCAGATAACTTACCCTAACCTTGTGGTGTGGAGGTGATTGGGGTTAGGGGTTAGAGAGGTCGTTGGGATGTGGGTTCATTATAATGTGGGGACTAACCATATGGTGAGTGGGAGGGTTAAAGTAATGGATTATAGATAGTTTAAGTTAGTGGTAAGGTTTAGTTTGTTTCTTTATGTCGTTTAAATGGGTTAGGGTTATATTTTAGCAAGTGTAGGTATATGATTAGGATGAGGTACTGTCTCTTTTTTTTTCTTTTTAAAGAGTTTGTGTAAATATTAATTTTTGTTGTGGGTTAGGTGCCCCATGCTGTGTTTAAGGGTAGAGCAAGAGTTCATGGAAAAGCTTGACATTTATCGTCCTTGAAGCTTTCTGTTATGAAAAAAGACAACTCAATAAATACTATTTAGATTAAGACGCCAGTGTTACTTCCCCTACATTGATTTGTCAGAAAATTATCCTGCATTTTTTAATTTTATTTCTAAAACAAACGTTTGAAGTGATGCAGTTACCAGTGTATGAGATACACAGTTTATTAAAAACAAGCACACATTCTCCTTGCTATAAATATATCGCATTCATTTATTTTAAAATGTCTATGATAATATCAAAATTATAATATCTAAACAAATCTTTTCATAAGGATAACTCAGTCTTGATAAATCTAATTTTAAAATGCTTACAAACCTAACCTAACCTAACCTAACCTAACCTAACCTAACCTAACCTAATCTAACCTAACCTAACCTAACCTAACCTAAACTAACCTAACCTAACCTAACCCAACCTAACCTAACCTAACCTAACCCAACCCAACCCAACCCAACCTAACCCAACCCAACCCAACCCAACCCAACCTAACCTAACCTAACCCAACCCAACCCAACCCAACCCAACCCAACCCAACCTAACCTAACCCAACCCAACCCAACCTAACCTAACCTAACCTAACCTAACCTAACCTAACCTAACCTAACCCAACCCAACCCAACCTAACCTAACCCAACCCAACCCAACCCAACCTAACCTAACCTAACCTAAGCCAACCACACCCAACCCAACCCAACCCAACCCAACCTAACCTAACCTAACCTAACCTAACCCAACCACACCCAAACTAACCCAACCCAACCCAACCTAACCCAACCCAACCTAACCTAACCTAACCTAACCCAACCTAACCCAACCTAACCTAACCTAACCTAACCTAACTATTTGACCCCCAGCGACCTTGAAGGTAGACAAAAGTGCCATCTCCGTGTCTGGAATCTCGTCCGGTGCCGTCATGGCTGTCCAGTTTCACGTGGCGTTTTCCTCAGAGATCATGGGAGCCGGCGTCATAGCTGGAGGTGAGTCGTAAGTCACGTGAGGGGGGTGGACGAAACACAAGAGGACAGAGTTACATTAGGGGTTTGGTTTGCACTTTTGTGTAATGTTCTATCATAAATTTTGTTTGCCATTTGTGTAATGTTCTATCATAAATTTTGTTTGCCATTTGTACAATGCAAATCGTGTAATGTTCTATTAGAAATTTTGTTTGCCAATGGTAAAATTTTCCTCTATGAATAGTGTGTATGAATCGTGCAATATTCTATTCTAAGTTGTTTTTGTTTCCGAATCGTGCAATGTACTGTTATATTTTTTTTTTAGGAATCGTACAATGTTCCACTATTTACTTAAGATATTTTAACCCTGTATCCACCAGCACCGTTCGTGCAATGCTCCACTAGGTGCTTAAGATATTTTAACCCTGTATCCGCCACCACCGTTCGTACAACGCTGTACTCGGTACTTAAGATATTTTAACCCTCTATCCACCAGCACCGTTCGTACAACGCTCCACTAGGTGCTTAAGATATTTTAACCCTCTATCCACCAGCACCGTTCGTACAACGCTCCACTAGGTGCCTAAGATATTTTAACCCTGTATCAACCAGCACCGTTCTTGCAACGCTCCACCCGATACCTAAGATATTTTAACCCTGTATCCGCCACCACCGTTCGTACAACGCTCCACTATGTGCTTAAGATATTTTAACCCTGTATCCGCCACCACCGTTCGTACAACGCTCCACTCGGTACTAAAGATATTTTAACCCTGTATCTACCAGCACCGTTCGTACAACGTTCCACTAGGTGCTTAAGATATTTTAACCCTGTATCTACCAGCACCGTTCGTACAACGCTCCACTAGGTGCCTAAGATATTTTAACCCTGTATCTACCAGCACCGTTCGTACAACGCTCCACTAGGTGCTTAAGATATTTTAACCCTGTATCTACCAGCACCGTTCGTACAACGCTCCACTAGGTGCTTAAGATATTTTAACCCTGTATCTACCAGCACCGTTTGTGCAACGCTCCACTAGGTGCTTAAGATATTTTAACCCTCTATCCGCCAGCATCGTTCGTACAACGCTCCACTCGGTACTTAAGATATTTTAACCCTCTATCCGCCAGCATCGTTCGTACAACGCTCCACTCGGTACTTAAGATATTTTAACCCTCTATCCGCCAGCATCGTTCGTACAACGCTCCACTCGGTACTTAAGATATTTTAACCCTGTATCTACCAGCACCGTTCGTACAACGCTCCACTAGGTGCTTAAGATATTTTAACCCTGTATCCACCAGCACCGTTCGTACAACGCCCCACTAGGTACCTAAGATATTTTAACCCTGTATCCACCAGCACCGTTCCTGTGTCAGCCTCAGGCCGCCTGTATGACCACGCCCAGCCTCCTCTCGGCCGTGGAGTTCCATGGCCTGACCGCCTCAGCCAGAATGTTCCTCAACATCGACTCCACGTTTAACATGGCTAAGGACAAGATCTGGATCTTCGCTGGTACCCATGACAACGTCGTCAAACCAGGTAGGTCACGTGATGCCATGGTCAAGGTCAGTGGTTACATGACTTGGTAGTCAGGACAGCTAGGTCACATGACATAGCGGTAAGGTCATGTAGGTCACATGACATGGTATTTATGGCATATAGGTCACATGACACCACGGTCAGACCATGTAGGTCACATGACTTGGCAGTCAGGACAGCTAGGTCACATGACATAGCGGTAAGGTCATGTAGGTCACATGACATGGTATTCATGGCATATTGGTCACATGACATCGTAGTCATGGCATTTAGGTCACATGACACCACGGTCAGACCATGTAGGTCACATGATTGGGTAAAAAATAGCACATGTGACCTGCGGATCATATCGGCCACGCTAGTGAAACACATCTCCTACAGTTTTGTTTGATTACCCCCACCAATTAAAATGTCTGTTTTAATTACGCTAACGTAACTACAACGACACGCCACTCTTCTCAGCTGCCGGCGCTCTGGTTCGAGATTATTACAGCCTCTATGTGGACAGCCAGTCTCAAATCCGATTGGTAAACAATATCAATGCAGCACATGGCCAGGTAAATCGTACAATTTTTTAGCCAAATTTTAAGAATCCACTTATTAAATTTTATTTGACCCTTAAATAGACAGTTTACTATGTGCCTAAATTGCTTACTGTCTACTGAATGGACTACACACGGTTCGGCACAACTCTAGGTGTCAAATTGTGATTGCTGGAGCCAGCAAAGTTGTGAGCGAGTCATCGTGTATCGAGTGGATCTTAATTGTAAACATTTTCACATTTCGCTATTTCACAGCTATATTTCACATTTCACAGCCTACCAACAACTATGGCGGAAGCTGCGGCGACCTTCACCTTGACAACTACATGAACAACTGCGGCTACAGCGCGGCCTACAACCTCCTCAACTTCATCTACGGCAACCTAAGGGTGAGGTCCGTGGTTCAAAACCTTACCGCACGGAAGCGGTCAACTAATCAGTTTAAGTATCCGAGGCTGCCGGTGATCGATTGAATTTAAATTAAAACGAAGTTTTCTAATATGTCATAATTATTTCATTCAATTTCTAATTTAAAATGAATTTAGAATAATTAGAAATAATTAAAAACGTCTTTTATAAAATATGTCATATATATATATATATATATATATATATATATATATATATATATATATATATATATATATATATATATATATATATATATATATATATATATTATGTTTTGCACGTTTTTCTTTATATTCCAGGAACCCAGTGCTAGCTATGTGGCTACCGGTGACGTAAGTGTCCATCACATATCTCATTAAATAACGTAACAGGCGGGTTAAATCGGAGTGAAGGGGACATTTTAGAGTCAATTGTTCGATGATAGCTTGTCATGGATTAGGAAATAGAAAAAGACATTAAGGAATAAACATTGAGGATTAGTTCCGTTTACTACACACGATTTTCTTTAGAGCATCAAATAGTTAATTCATTTCTTCCCTAGCCCTTGTTTTTAAACAATTCAAATTCATCCTCTCAGCTCCAACTATTTAACCAACTTTTCCCCTCAGCTCCAACTATTTGATCAACTTTTCCCCTCAGCTCCAACTATTTGACCAACTTTTCCCCTCGGTTCCAACTATCTGACCAACTTCCTCCCACAGCTTCAACTATTTGACCAACTTTTCCCCACAGCTCCAACTATTTGACCAACTTTTCCCCTCAGCTCCTACTATTTTACCAACTTTTCCCCTCGGTTCCAACTATCTGACCAACTTCCTCCCACAGCTTCAACTATTTGACCAACTTTTCCCCTCAGCTCCAACTATTTGACCAACTTTTCCCCACAGCTCCAACTATTTGACCAACTTTCTCTCTCAGCTCCAACTATTTGACCAACTTTTCCCCTCAGCTCCAACTATTTGACCAACTTTTTCCCACAGCTCCAACTATTTGACCAACTTTTTCCCACAGCTCCAACTATTTGACCAACTTTTCCCCTCAGCTCCAACTATTTGACCAACTTTTCCCCACAGCTCCAACTATCTGACCAACTTTCTCTCTCAGCTCCAACTATTTGACCAACTTTTCCCCTCAGCTCCAACTATTTGACCAACTTTTTCCCACAGCTCCAACTATTTGACCAACTTTTTCCCACAGCTCCAACTATTTGACCAACTTTTCCCCTCAGCTCCAACTATTTGACCAACTTTTCCCCTCGGTTCCAACTATCTGACCAACTTCCTCCCACAGCTTCAACTATTTGACCAACTTTTCCCCACAGCTCCAACTATTTGACCAACTTTTCCCCTCAGCTCCAACTATTTGACCAACTTTTCCCCTCGGTTCCAACTATCTGACCAACTTCCTCCCACAGCTTCAACTATTTGACCAACTTTTCCCCTCAGCTCCAACTATTTGACCAACTTTTCCCCACAGCTCCAACTATTTGACCAACTTTCTCTCTCAGCTCCAACTATTTGACCAACTTTTCCCCTCAGCTCCATCTATTTGACCAACTTTTCCCCTCAGCTCCAACTATTTGACCAACTTTTCCCCTCAGCTCCAACTATTTGACCAACTTTTTCCCACAGCTCCAACTATTTGACCAACTTTTCCCCACAGCTCCAACTATTTGACCAACTTTTTCCCGCAGCTCCAACTATTTGACCAACTTTTCCCCTCAGCTCCAACTATTTGACCAACTTTTCCCCACAGCTCCAACTATTTGACCAACTTTCTCTCTCAGCTCAAACTATTTGACCAACTTTCTCTCTCAGCTCCAACTATTTGACCAACTTTCTCCCACAGCTTCAACTATTTGACCAACTTTCTCCCACAGCTCCAACTATTTGACCAACTTTCTCCCACAGCTCCAACTATTTGACCAATTTTCTCCCTTCAGCTTCAACTATTTGACCAACTTTTCCCCTCAGCTCCATCTATTTGACCAACTTTTCCCCACAGCTCCAACTATTTGACCAACTTTTCCCCTCAGCTCCATCTATTTAACCAACTTTTCCCCACAGCTCCAACTATTTGACCAACTTTTCCCCTCAGCTCCAACTATTTGACCAACTTTCTCCCACAGCTTCAACTATTTGACCAAAGTGCCTTCACCACCTATAGTGCTCACATGGACACTGTGGGCTACGTCTATGTACCCACTGGCTGTAAGGACAGAACTAAAGGTAGGTGGTGACACAATGTAAGGATAGAACTAAAGGTAGGTGGTGACACAATGTAAATACAAAACTAAAGGTCGGTGGTGACACAATGTAAAGACGAAACTAAAGGTAGGTGGTGACACAATGTATGTATAAAACTAAAGGTAGGTGGTGACACAATGTAAGGACAAAACTATAGGTAGGTGGTGATACAATGTAAAGACAAAACTAAAGGTAGGCGGTGACACAATGTAAAGACAAAACTAAATGTAGGTGGTGGCACAATGTAAGGACAAAACTAAAGGTAGGTAGTGACACAATGTAAGGACAAAACTATAGGTAGGTGGTGACACAATGTAAGGACAAAACTATAGGTAGGTGGTGATACAATGTAAATACAAAACTAAATGTAGGTGGTGGCACAATGTAAGGACAAAACTAAAGGTAGGTAGTGACACAATGTAAGGACAAAACTATAGGTAGGTGGTGACACAATGTAAAGACAAAACTAAAGGTAGGTGGTGACACAATGTAAATACAAAACTAAAGGTAGGTGGTGACACAATGTAAAGACAGAACTAAATGTAAGTGGTGACACAATGTAAATACAAAACTAAAGGTAGGTGGTGACACAATGTAAAGACAGAACTAAATGTAAGTGGTGACACAATGTAAATACAAAACTAAAGGTAGGTGGTGACACAATGTAAAGACAGAACTAAATGTAAGTGGTGACACAATGTAAATACAAAACTAAAGGTAGGTGGTGACACAATGTAAAGACAGAACTAAATGTAAGTGGTGACACAATGTAAATACAAAACTAAAGGTAGATGGTGACACAATGTAAATACAAAACTAAATGTAAGTGGTGACACAATGTAAATACAAAACTAAAGGTAGGTGGTGACACAATGTAAATACAAAACTAAAGGTAGGTGGTGATACAATGTAAGGACAAAACTATAGGTAGGTGGTTACACAATGTAAAGACAGAACTAAATGTAAGTGGTGACACAATGTAAACACAAAACTAAAGGTAGGTGGTGACACAATGTAAATACAAAACTAAAGGTAGGTGGTGACACAATGTAAAGACAGACTAAATGTAGGTGGTGACACAATGTAAAGACAGAACTAAATGTAGATGGTGACACAATGTAAATACAAAACTAAAGGTAGGTGGTGACACAATGTAAATACAAAACTAAAGGTAGGTGGTGATACAATGTAAGGACAAAACTATAGGTAGGTGGTTACACAATATAAATACAAAACTAAAGGTGTTGACACAAAGTATGGTCACAAACAAGGGTAGGTGGGCGATAGGTTCTAATTATTGTTATTGCGCCTCTAGTTTTAGCTTTTTTTTTTTTGGTCATTAATTCCCCATCTACATCCACAGCATGCAAGCTTCACATAGCATTCCATGGTTGCCAGATGGGCAGGTATGAGCCAAACTTAATTTTCTAGGAGCCAAACTTAATTTCCATTTCTATACATGTTGTTTTTATCTGTAAAAACATGATCGAGCTACTTCTGTAGCATAAACAACTAGAACTCTATGCTGTAGTACTTCTGTAGTAAATCAATACATAGTTGTACTGTCATGCTAGACCTCTGTACTAAAGTAACACACTCATGTAATGCAGTACAAGACCACTCATCCCGTGTTACATTGAAACTTTAACAAAAATTTTGTGTTACTTCAGAGAACGTATCGGTGACGTCTACGCCCGACACTCCGGTTACAACGAGGTGGGGGAGATGAATGACATCATCATCCTGTACCCCCAGGTCGTCGTGTCTGCCCTCAACCCCATGGGATGCTGGGATTGGTTCGCCTACACGGGCATTTATTACGGTGAGTTGGGCATACACTGGGGCATTTATTATGGTGAGTTGCGCATACGCTGGGGCATTTATTACGGTGAGTTGGGCATACGCTGGGGCATTTATTAAGGTGAGATGGGCATACGCTGGGGCATTTATTACGGTGAGTTAGGCATACGCTGGGGCATTTTTTACGGTGAGTTAGGCATACGCTGGGGCATTTATTACGGTGAGTTGGGCATATGCTGGGGCATTTATCTCTCTCAGTCTATACCAGTGGCTCAAAACCTTTTCGGAGGCACTGAACCCCACCTGTTTCATATGCGCATTTACCGAACCCTTCTTAAGGGTTTTATCGTGAATCATAGGAGTCGGGTGTCTGTCTTGACCTCCGCCGAACCCCTGAGACTGACGCACCGAACCCATGGGACTGACTCGCCGAACCCAAGGGATCCGATCGAAGCCAGGTTGAGAACCACTGGTCTACTAAAACATGCGTCTACTAGCGTAAATACCAATAATGAAAACGCATTGAAAGCTTTAATCATATAAGAAGGGGAGGGGGGGGATTTTTAAATGTCGTCGTTCTTACTTAATCGCTCGTTTACAATTTTGTTTTTGTATTAAAGTCTTGCAGAAGCGTAACGAGGGGGGGGGGAGGTACATATGTCCCCGGGCGCCGAACCTTAGGGGGCGCCAAAATGGGTTGTAAAAACAAATTAAAATGTCATTTTAGCTGCATTTTTTGCATTATAAATAGTTTTGAGGGGGTTTGATGCAAATCGAAAGTTCGAAGGGGGTAAAAATCAAAAGTTTGAGGGGGGGTGCAAATTAAAAATTTGTTCCCGAGGGGGCGCAACGCCTCTGAAGTCTTGTCATATATTCCTTTATTAAGTCTTGTAATATATTCGTTTATTTAAAGTCTTGTCATATTTTCGTTTATTAAAGTCTTGTCATATATTCGTGTATTAAAGTCTTGTCATATATTCGTTTAGTATAGTCTTGTCATATATTCGTGTATTATAGTCTTGTCATATATTCGTGTATTAAAGTCTTGTCATATATTCGTGTATTAAAGTCTTGTCATATATTCGTGTATTAAAGTCTTGTATTTTCGTGTATTAAAGTCTTTTCATATTTTCGTTTCAGCTTTCCATTCAGGCCCACAGATGAGGTCCGTCCATGACATGATGACCCATATTTCAGGGTGACCAGTCACGTGATCAGGGTTCAAGTTACATGAGTCATCATATGTTCACCAGCGTATTTATTGGAAACAAAATAAAACTAAAATGTATATATGCCAACTATCACCACCGTCCTTGTCATTATGTTGTGTATCTGGCGTAGTTATTGAGGTTTGTTGGTAAATTTACCTTCATGCTGGTACAAACCCTAGCCCTAAATCTAACGCTCATCTCTACACCCTAATCCTGATTTTAGCCGAACCCTCAGCTCTAAAGGAGTGACAAAAAAAAATTTGATTATTAGATCATGCAGTACCCAGCCGGGATTTCAAAGCGAACCTTGACTACATTATTAGATCATGCAGTACCCAGCCGGATTTTTATGAGAACCTTGACTACATTATTAGATCATGCAGTGCCCAGCCGGATTTTTATGAGAACCTTGACTACTTTCCTGGAATTGTGTCCCAACTTATACGGGAGCTCGCTGTGTAATATATGGAACAATCGATTACTTCTGTTTATATATATATATATATATATATATATATATATATATATATATATATATATATATATATATATATATATATATATATATATATATATATATATATATATATATATATCTATATATATATATATATGCCTATATATATATATATATGCTATATATATATATATAGTATATATATAGTATAATATATATATAGTATATATATATATAATATTATATACACTCAAAGTTTCGTTCTAATACTCCCGAGTACTGTCATTTAACTATATGTATGAAAACAGAGTGTTTTAAAGTGACTCGAAACTGACCTATAGTGACCGCGACCTGATATAAAGTATAGATTTTTCTAAAGACGCTTTGAATTTGATCGACCACTTGCAAATGCGACAAAATGTTGATATTTGTTAAGTGATAGCTTAAAAAAAATAGAAAAATAGCAGGTTCTCAGAAACGTCATTCTAATGGGTTAATAATTTTAAAAATCTACTCCTCTATTTTTATTATTAAAGGGACGTACCAGCGTCAGGAATTTAAACTTTTAATTTCCCACGCTCTATGACTAAACGCAAAAATTAGAGAAAACATTTGGATAAAAGAAAAGTTCCTTTGAAATAGATACTAAAGGGTTTTCGAATAGGTGTTAAAATAAGTAACATTTAATTATTTG